TAACAACTTACCCTTAGCCGCATTAGATGAACTGGAATCATTAGTATATTTTACTGCAACAGACAGAAATGGAGACCAAATGGAAACATGAATGGTGATGAAATTTATCAAATAAATGATGGATATAATCAAACTAAGTAACAAATTCAGATTATGCTGACGTAGATCCATTTGCAAGGTGAACTTCCTTTGTTCTATCTCATGAAACTGAAATTTTTAAAATTATTCTGCTCTGTAAAAAATGGGATGGGGAGGAAGGAATGCTATTTGAATACAATTAGATTATTCTGCTGATCTCCTGGACTGAGATCATATTATTTCCACCTTAAAGAAAAATTCCATAATTGTTGAAGATGCAATGCAAGCAAGCACTATGATAATGAACACATGTACAAATGACATAAATACAAAAAGATCTCATATTTAGCTAATATTTTAAAATGCTCTTCCATCATGGTCCTTTCAGCCAACCCTGACAGAAGATTGTATTGACTGATTGATCAATACTTAAAGCCTATTCCACTCTCAGATAATTCTTATGAAACCAAATCACAATACCAATAGCAAAATAACACTCAGACTTATATACCACTTTATAGTGCTTTACAGCCCTCGTCAACATATTGCCCCCCAACAATCTGGGCCCTCATTTTACCCACCTTGGAAGGATGGAAGGCTGAGTCAACTTTGAACTTGGTGAGATTCGACCTGCCAAATTGCAGGCAGCTGGCAGCCAGCAGAAGCACCCTCAAGAACTGCATTCTAAACACTGTGCCACCACCGCTCATAATATAGCTATCATCACCAAAAATCACAAATTAACAAGTTAACTGGAGGTTCAATTTTTGCTGCTCCACTACTTATCACTACATATGTTGTCACAGGCAATGGACAATATGTAAGCCTGAATGCTCTTGCTATTATTAGGTGGATTTCTTTCACCCATGGAAGAAAAACAGTTCTACAAGCTTGTGATGAACCTTCAGTCTACCCATCCATCACATCTCACCTCACCTCTTCAATTCAAATCCACTTTAAGAAGACAAAGTAGTAGATGTTTCTTCAGGACCTACTGTTGCTTGAAGGCAAGGAAGGATAACAAAGCCAGGGGAATTCCCCAATTCCCTTCTATAATATGCCTTGCACTCAGTACATAAGGATACTATTATTTGGCAGCAGTTCGCCTATCCCAAAATAGGAATCAGATAGCAAAAAATTGAAGCTCCAGTTAATTGGTGAGATGCTGATGTTAAATTTATTTTGCTTTTGGTGATGGTGCTTTTATTGCGTTTTGGTTTCATGTTGCTATAGTTTGTTTTCTTTATAATAACAGAAGTTTTTTTTATTTTGAAGAGCCATGGTGGTGCAGTTGTTAGAAGGTAGTATTGCAGGTTAATTCTACTGACTGTCAACGGTTCAATTCTCACTGTCTCCAGGTTAACTCAGAATTCCATCTTTCTGGGGTTGGTAAAATGAGGACCCAGATTGTTGGGAACAAAATGCTGACTCTGTAAACTGCTTAGAGAGAGCTGTCAAGCACTATGAAGTGTGATATAAATCTAAGTGCTATTGCTATGTGCTATTGTTTTTCTAAGTGGATTGTGTTGTATTAGTTTTTGTCATATGTGAATCACTCAGTACTTTTTCTATTGCAGGGACATACAGATGTGTTAAACAAACTATGTGTCCTTATTTTTTAGATATTTTCCAATCACAATGGGTAGAAGAAACAAGGCTGACAATGATAAAATAATGTAAAATGTATCCTCAATTATAATAAAATGAAAAAAAATTATTTCCGACTAAGATGAATTGTCCTGTGGGAAAAATGAATTTTATTCTGCATTAAAAAAATAATTAGTAGGGAAATAATTTAATCCTATCTTTCTTGAGATAAGTGGAGAACCTATTTATTTTCACACAGTGGCTTAGTCTTTTCAATGTTTTATGTATATGTCAACATTTTGTACAACCCTATAGATGATTATTAAATGAAAATCCCACCTAGTTAAGCTGGGCTAAATATAAATGTGTGGATAAGAAGAATTGTAGATGCACAAAAAATATTAAAAAATCCAGAAATAATAAATTTAAGTTTCTTCTGTTTAGTTATAAGTAGTTTCATGTCAAAAAAATCTTACCCCATCATATTGTTCAAATATGTTGTATAATATTTATATAACATTTGCTCAGTTGTGAGCAAAGTTCATGTATGGTTTTGGCAATAAATGAGATGTTGAAGGATGTAGTGAGGCAGTATCTTAAGAACATTTGTGGATTATGTGGATCAACTGCCATGAACCACCTAAGAAACTAGCTGGTATCATAGTAGTAATATTAAAACTGCCACCCAAGGCAATCTTATGTTGCTACAGAGTCCAATTTGGCAAGACACCAGACATAATCAAAGTCTTTTTCAGCAACATAAAGCATTTTCTGACAATTCTTCAGTCACAGGTAGTAGCTCTTAGCTAAACTTCACTGAGCTCATAAAAGATAAGCAGAAAAACTAGCACTCAGATGATATATCATCAGGAAACTCCAGAGTTATGGAATATTCTAGGAAATTTAAAAAAAAAATCAGTGAAAAAAAAATACTCCCGGAAGATAATAAACTAATTCCATATTGGGGGGAAAAAGCAAGGAAGATTCAGGTGGTCACCAAGATTTGATATTACTTTAACAATCCTCCCAAGGTAATTAATCAAATGGCAAATCGTTCAGAAAGGAACTTAGGTGGGTATTTGTCCTGTAATAATTACATAAGGAGGAGGAGACCAATCAATTTATATGTTACAATCAAGAAGAAGAAAAAGATGGAAGTTGCAAATGAAGTCCTTCAAATTTGCTAGCGGCCCTTAGCTGCTACATCCCTGCAAATCATTCTGTCTTCTCATTTTGGTGGCATTTCTTTTCCATTCAAGAGAAAATAAAATATATTGCCGACAAGTGCCTCCAATAAATATATCCTGTGTTAGTTCAACATGAAAGCACACATTACTCTCAGTTTCCATTTATATCTAAAGGAAATTATCATCTAGTAGCTTTGAAAAGAATTTGATTTTCATCCCAATCAGGGTTAAATTTTTTATAGTTTTGAGGTTCAGAACAAAACAAGAGAAATCTTTTGGCGAGCTAGCAGCTGCAGCAGTTTTATGAGCTGGGCCTAGCTGTCATCACTAAGACAGCAGTGTGGAATTGAATACATTTGCATATATTTCTTCAGCAAAAATAATGATAAAAAACAACCCATGTCACATGTAAGAATTACCAAAAGAACCAAAGGTTGGAAGCAGACATTAAGGCAGATGGAAGATAGAGGAAGAAAGAAAGAAGGAAAGAAGAGAACCAATTTCCCAGACTTACAACGTGTAACTGTCAATGTCATTGACATTTTCTGCACAATCGTTCTTAATTTTGGAAATGCAGCAAAGCAGCAATAATCACTACGACTGTCATTTTCATCCACATTTGCAAAGTAAAGATCCCCATTAAGGCCCATGGAGACCCTTTCATCTTGTGGGATATGCTGCAAATCTGAAAAGGAAAAAAAAATGGTAATGGTTCAGTATCTGACCCTTGATCCCAGGTAAGGAAATAGCTCTTGGGTATTAATAATGCATGTGACTTGAAAGAATGTAAAGCATATTTGCTAGTTTTCCACTATGTTATGTAGGGGGGAGGGGAATCACAAGTAGAACAAGCTGCCTGGATACCCTCTTCCCAACCATGAAATATATACTGCATATGTATTGCAAGTTTGATATTGCATACATTTTTCTGTGACAGAATGCAATTTTTTTTCTTTTTTTTTTTTTGCAAAATAATGCACCGTTTTCATTGTGCATTTGTTAAAGAATTATTCAAGTCAGGCCTGTATTCTACATGTCATGGCTGTCAAGAAGCCACTTATCCTGTCACTTAGAATAGGCTTGGATGGCACATAACACAAAAGTATAATGTCTATTCTTTCTTTCTTTTTTACATTTGTGTAGACGAACTCATTATATGATTTAACCTTATGTGTAAAACAGCCCAATGTGCTAAATGGAGCTATATACTTAATTCCATAATTTAATTCTATGTTTTAATTTGAAAATGAGTTGGAAAAAATACCTTGAGAAGAGAGAAATGTGGACTGTATGAGAGAGATGACATGCTACTAGTTCTTAGCACAAGCCTCTCTAAAGGATAAAAGAACTGTCACCCCACTGAATTCAGTAGGGGTTTGGCTTGCTCCTTCTGTCTTATCATGGTTTCTTTGGTGACTTCATCCCTCTGCTGCATGCTAGCCTATATATGCTGATTCTTCTGCTCCATCAAATAACCCCTTATTCTGATTCCTCCTTCCTCAGCCAAAACCCGTTTAACTGAAATAGCTACAGCTGTTTGAAGGGCCAGCTTCCCTTACCTGGATGGGCCGTTTAAAAGATAAGGGTTTTAGAAAGTGCAACTATGATGAGCATCCAGAGGTGGTATTCAGCAGGTTCTGAACAGTTCTGGAGAACCAGTAGTGGAAATTTTGAGTAGTTCGGAGAACCGGTAAATACCACCTCTGACTGGCTCCGCCCACATCTATTATTTGCCTCCTGAGTCCCAGCTGATAAGGAGGAATTGGGGATTTTCCAGTAACCTTCCCCTGGAGTGGGAGAGAATGGAGATTTTACACTATCCTTCCCCACGCTCACCAAGTCATGCCCACCAAGCCATGCCAAAGGCAACCAGTCCACAGAACCGGTAGTAAAAAATTTTGAACCTCACCACTCTGAGCATCTTTCACACTACTCTCATTCTTATGTCAAAGGGTTCTGTATCAAGGCTTTTCTGATTTTACCACAATTCTTATTGCCATGATTTTTTAGTATTTATAGTAAATCATTTTCATTTTCACAAGCTAGGTTTTTTATTATTTGTTAGATTTCCCAGGGAGAAGGGAGGAAATGAATCCATTTTAAAATAAAGTGCAAAAAAGCTAGAAAAAGTCCACTTAGGAATTTTAGAGAAAATCAACAGTAAAACCAAGTACCTCATTTGCTCAAGACAGGACTGGATACATACAGAAATGTGACTCACTGAATGAAATCCAAATATAATTCATTACATTCTCCTTTTCCACGATGTAAGATTAGTAAGTGTTTTAATGAACAGCATTAATCTTTGCAGCTGCCTTTTAAGTTTAGCATTAACATTTTCTAATTCATTATCTGTAATTTTCAGTTTATTGCTGCATTCTGTTAACCACAGAAAATGCCATTTATCAACCACATGCAATTTTAATTAAATTCAAATTATAGAAATACTTTTGCAGAGCGATTCCATTTGTAATGATGTCAGGAGGAAAGGACGGACACTTACCAATATTCATCCAATAAATGTGCAGTGGTGGGATGCCTTTGGGAGGATTGCAGCGCAAAACCATTGCATCACCATGTTCTACATCAATGGGGTCAATTTTCTCCTTAGGAAATTTAGGAATACCTATTGTAATAGAAGCACCACAAGAAGAAGCTAAATAGCACTTGTTAATCTTTTCCTATTTGTGCCATTCTCTTTATTAATTGTTACCTGACATGTTTTGTTTTTGTCTTTTATTCAATTGGTAAAAGAAAAATTCTTGAAGGAAAACTATTTTGACATATGTTCTCTGACTATCGAGTGGCAACTTCAGGCATAGTGGAGACCCTAACAGTGATATACTGTATATACTTTTTATTGATCATGTTTACATTCTTCCTCCCCACTATATAGATGGTAGGTTTGGTTTTACTTTACAAATGAAAGGGGTTGGACTAAGATACCTGATGAGGTGCCTTAGCACCTTCATGGAATTTAATTTTATTACATTATTTATTTATATCACTAACATCTAATCTATCCCCACTTCAAAAGCTGGTTAAGCTTTAAAGTCTGTTAATTACATTTATCTTGAAAACAATTACCTGAAAATAATTAATCTCACAAATCCCTATTCTCGTGCAATACCATCCTGAGATTATCTTCAGAGTTGCCCTTCTAAATTTCCCAAAGTTGCTACAGCAGGTACACCGAATTATTTTAATTCTAAAATATCCTCATGAATTCTTTTCCTTATGTATTTTCCTTTCCTAAATATTTAAATTTTTAAATTCTGTTTCAATCTGATGTTTTTCTGTTGATGGTTATATTGTACTTTAAAATTGTATTGGTGTTGAAACTTAACTAGTCGGGGTGATTTCCTGCTGCATTACTTCTGGATAAGCACACAATTTTTTTTGTGCAAATGCACATTCATGCACACAAAGTTAGAGAAGGGAAAAATAATATTTTTTTGCAATGAAGATTGTTCTGCGTATGCGCAGAACCAAAAATCAAAATGGCACCACCACCGATAGAACCGGTTCTAGGCAGGCCGAGTTACTACCTACTCGGCCAAACTGGTCTGAACCAGTAGGAACCCACCTCTGCAACTAGTTAATGTGTAAATATGACTTGTAAATAAATAAGTAGAAATACAGTATAATTTTACAGTCCTAGGCTTTATCAAAATAATGAAATTCTTTCCAGAGCATGACATTATTGACATTCTATAATTCTTTGTATTTTAAACACAGCCTTCTAACTGTAGATAAAAAGTTAATAGCAGCATTAAAACAAATAATAGTATACCAAGGAATAATCTCATTACATTTTTTTAAATTTTTTAAAGAAGTTCCAGAGTGTTATGCCTCTCATTAGGTATCACTGTACATAAGCATTTATAGAAAGAAAACAAAAATGAAAAGACTCCATGTATGAAGACTCAAATTAAACCTTGTTTTACATCTTTGCTGCAAATCTCCCAACCTCACTGTGAAAACTTCCATCATATGCTTGAGCTTCACATTCACTAGCTGCTAATCTGCCATGAACTATGGGGTAAGGGAGCTGGTTGGGAGGGGGGAAGGCTAACTACTGGTCATACCTTCCAGAGACACCATCTCAAGGTCAAAGTGCTGGGAATGGAATGCAATAACTCACCAACCAGCTCGCTGTTGAAGAGTCAATTCCCAAAACAATTTATTCAAATATAATTGGACAATGAGGGATCAGCAATGGGAAGGAACTGGATGGGGAAAGTTAATCAGAAAGGTTTGGCCCACAAACACAGGCTAAAGCTGAAGTGTCATATTACCAAAAAGATGAATGACTTTTTTGAAAAAAGGAAAGTTGAAGCTAAACAAAATCTAGTAATAAATTTTATGAAGGTTGTAATGTGAATAGTTTGCTTCTATTAAAAAAAAACCAAAACTCCTTTTTTCTTTATATCTGTTGAGTTCCATAGTGTTGTGGTCCACCGGCGGCCTGTGGAGCTCGCAGCAGAGTCGGACAGTGAGAAGGTTGGAGAGGAACATGGGCCAGTCCTAGAGTCTGGGGAAGGCTCGGACGAGGGCTCTGCGTCAAGGGCAGAGAGGGGGCCAAGGCCATCAGGGAGTTATGTGCTGTCTCTGGAGCCTCCAGAGTTGGACATCAGCAAGGCAGAGGAACAGGAGGAGCCTGTTCCCAGTGCACACATGCTGCCAGAAGGTAAGAACAGTTAAGACAAAAGGGAGGCTCCTGGAGTATGGGGAAGGCTAGGATGAGGGCTCTGCATCAGAGGCAGAGAGGGGGCCATCTGGGAGTTATATGCTACCTCTGGAGCCTCCAGAGTTGGATTTCAGCAAGGCAGAGGAACAGGAGGAGCCTGTTCCCAGTGCGAGAGCTGCCAGAAGGCAAGAACAGTTAAGACAAAGGGGGCAACTTGGGAGTAAGGCTTGGAGATGATTAGCCCCTCCCATAGGACATAAAGGAGGAGCAAAGGCATGTGAGCCTTTGCAGGAAGCAACTTTGTTCATTCTGGTTGGTTTAAACTCTGAAGCTGCATTTTGACTCTGTGCTCCGTGGGACCTTGCACAGCTAATTGGCAATCATGTTTTTGGCAGCATTTCAAGGGAGATAAAGAGGGGGATAAAGAGGTGCTTAGCAGCCTTATCCAGAAGACTGTGGCAGAATCCTGTCAGACTCTTTACAAACTATTTGTGACTCATTACAGGCTGTGAATGAACATGATTCACACTGTTGAAATAAAAAGAGGGTTTTTGGGACTAAGCATGTGCTTTTTACTGTCTCAAGAAGCCTAGGTCAGAACACATAGCTTGAAAGACCAGGAATTCCCCCTCACACATCCTATGTGTGTGGGTGTGTGTATGTGTACATGTGTGCATGTGTGTATGTAGGCATCTTTAACCACCTGCTATCGGTCCAGCAAAATCACTCAAGTAGTTCTTGTTGAACCCTTTCCAAGATGAACAATGTTGAGTATGGAGAAAGATCTCACGGACATTCAGACTGGGAAGGGAAAAGAAGGAGAAGTAGTGCATTTAGTCCTTGGCTCACAATTATAGGAGCCATATCATAATGCTGAATTGAAAGAATGAGGTCTAAGACTAATGGAAAATAGAGTTCTAAGTGTATCATACATAGAATTAAAGAACATCATCTTAAACTGTGGAAAGCCAATGGCAACCAATACAGATCTCTCATTATTACAAACTGGACTTATTATACTGGCTAGCAGCCTGGCTGTCACATTTCGTATACTTCAAATGTCATGATCAGCACCAAACTCCAAACAATGTCTCCTCCTTTTGCTACAGGAATAGATTGAAAATTAAAAGTTACAGAATGTCTCCATTACATAGCTTAGTAGTTAGTGCCTTCAGCTTTCTAATAGTCTTCCATTATGAACTAGAATATAATTATATAATTCAACACTTCTCTCTGTATTTATGTAAAATAATTCTGAATGTTCACTCACTTGAAAGTGCATAAACTCTTATTTATTTCAGCTTTCCTATTTTCTTCCCTATAATATTGTAGGGCTATTCAGCTTAAAATTTGTGTAACAGCCCTTTTTATACATTTGCATTTTCATTGTGTTGTTGGAATAACTGGAATGTGTAAACAGGACTTTTATTTTCTCCTTCAGCAGGATCCTTGTTTGACTTTGAAATCCCGCTGTCACTGAGCAAAGTGTAAACCACTCAATGGTTTCCTTGGCATAATTGATGTTGAAAAACATGACTTGGTGCGATTTCTTTCTCTGTTCACTTTTTATATGGATGGTGAGTTGCCAAGCACCTAGTACCTTCCTTCAAAATTGTGGAGAGATGCCTGCCAAGAACCATGCTATTATCATGATGTCATATTTATCAGGCTATGCTTTGATTGTGTTTGTACATAAAAGGAATTGATTTATTTTAAGGTCCTCTACAACCCCACTTATCAAATTTGGCCATGCAGAATAGCATTGTTTAGGTACTAACTCAACCAAAGAGGATGTAGGACAGAAAAGATGGACCTTGCAAAGATGCTAAGGTTTCTCTGTGATAATTAAAAGTCCATGTATTTGGGTATGAAGGGTGGTGATATATAAACTAGCACACAAAACACTATTTTTAATACAATCTAATACAATCTCCTTCTTTCCCTCATCATTTCTTCACTCTGTCATATATACAGTATATCCCCTTAAAATGTCAGGAATTTTGTTTTGTCTTATTTTCTTTGTTTTAGTATATAAACATATCAAAATACATCAATAGTCACCTATTGGTTGATGGGTCATATGTAGAGCATAAAGAACATATATGGATCATAGAGATATTGGAAATGAATAAATACATTTTATTTCTTCCCAAACACATCAGGTTTAAACAGAGGTGAATGGTATGCAAATTTAAGTAATAAATAAAATAAATAAATTGGGTTATTTTCACATCTAAGCCAGCAAACTGATCTTGAATAGCTAAGTACACGAGTACATGAGTGAGAAAACCACCAAACAATATGGGGCTAAGACCATACAGGGAAGAAATCAGGAATAAGTCAATACCATACCACTTATTTATATTTGTTCAAAGTGCCATATGTATTTGGCCATGAAGTACCATGAATAAAGGGCAATTTTCTTTTACCTTTGCATAAAAAGCCATTTATATACAATTATAGACAAATACGTGACTTTTCATTTATTTATGTATACAGAAGCTTAAGAAAGCAGTTGTTCTAGAGCAGTGGGTGCATCCTGAAGTAGTTGCTTTAATTGTCTTTATGATATATCGGTATCTTTAGGCTTGCTATTTTGCCTTCCTCTGCTCTTAATATTTTTGTTTAAAATAACATTCCATAGTTATAGCCAAATATCATAGTCAGTATCTCTATAGCTACAGTCAACATCATAGTCTAGTTCATATTGCCTTTATCTTTTGTTTTATGAACTTTACCTATTTCCTGCTCTCTTTAATTGTAAACAAAAAACAGGTTCTGTTGTCTATATTAAAAAAGGTTGCTTCCAATTGGAAAAAAAATGGAAGGTGTGATTTATACTTTTAAATAGCAAAGTTGTTGATTGAACTGTCCAGAAGGCCAGGAAATTTATACAAAATATTGAAGAGGAGAGATTCATATGGAAATGTTAGTTGAAACTAAACAAAAACTCCAACAGCTGATGTGGGAAATTAAAAGGGATTATACTGAACTAGGCACTAGAGATATCTTTATCTCTCACTAAATGTTGGGCCTGATTATGGATTACAAATGTCTAATGTGGAATATAACTGAAGCAAATTCCCTTGAGAAAAAATATTATTTGAAAAAATATAATTTGCTTACAAGAAACATATTGAAATAAAATATTAAAAAAACTTGATTGATTAAAAAAATGGGGTTTTTCCCCAGCAAGAACAGAAAAAGTGAGTTATTATATAAACCCCAATTAATGCTAACTGATGAGCAAGGTAGATTTTTATGGGTGAGGGAATATTAGGGAATATTGTTTTGTTTATCGTGATTTTAAGTTAATATTTTGGTTTTATTTTTATTACCCGGATTTGAACAGCATTTCAGCCAAAATAGAAAAGGGAAAACTAAGCTGTGGTATGGACAATTTGAATGACGGAATGTTATATGTATATCAGGGGTGGGTTTCTCGCCCCGTTCCAACCGGTTCGGTTGGACGCAGCGCACGCATGCGTACTAGTGTCTGTGCGATGCTCCAGCTGCTCCTGGAGGATCGCGCAGGCGCTGTATGCGTCCTGCGAATGCGTGGAAGCGCAGAATTCATCAAAACCGGGTAAGGACCGTGGGCGGGCAGGTGGGCCCTTCACCGTTCCTGGAAGTTACTTACTTCCGGATTCG